TGTCCACCAACCGTCTAGGTGTTGATCATATCAGCTCTGTCCATAGTTCTTTTTGCAACACGCCAGGTGCATTTATTGGTAACAGAAATTATAGTGCGTTCAAAACTCGCTCCCCCCCTTACACTCGCTCTTATGTACGGATCAACATGAGGTTTTACCTGTAGATTTCCAATGTCCTTGGGATTTTATATTTTATAATAGCACAGGTGCCGCTGCACTCTTAAAGCGGCGAATCTCTATGAACTTTGTTTGACTAATAATTTGTGTACCCCTAAATAAAATATACAGTAACTGCCACAGACTTGGAGATTGTTTCGAAATCAGTAAACATTTGCAGCGATACCTGTGGATTATTTTAATAGCCTATATCGCCTACAAAGAAAAAATCCGCAACTCACTGGAGACTAATGCTGGAGATGACTACCTGAGAGTGAGACCCTTCTCAAACGCGTATAATCTGATGTTTGAAAAGTTCATGTTACTTAGTTCACTGTAAGCGTGCTGTCTGTTTGTTCTGAGGCGGTGTATGTTTTAACACATACCACACAAAAGACACCTCCGGGGCTTAGGCGTTGCGAGTCCGATTCGTAATTCCAACGTACCGCGATGCAAACCCACTGCTGACTGAGTGGATTTTTATCATGGTATGGGGCGTCGCAGGTAGACCCAGTCTAAAATGGATACCAGGATGTGTGTCTTGGGGAAGTAAAGACGGCCAGCGTAATGCCGACCTTATTAAAAACATAGTACCGATTGGTGTGTACAATTATTGGTGCACTTCATATATGCCAGATGCGACTAAAAGCGTGAAAATGGTTCTTTACTTTACTTTTACTTTACACAAATTAAAACTAGATGTTTGTTTACATGAGAAAAAAAAAATGCTATGTCAAGGACATGATTATTAATATGTTAACGTCTGAAACCCCGATACGGGATGCAATTTTACGTTATTTAAAGCCCCACCTCGGTGTAGTCAGGCCCCCTAATAAACCCAACGGTTGACGGGGATTCTGGAACCTCTCCACGGGGGATTCTCATCCTCATGGTGGCTCTTTGCATCACCGGGTGTTTATCGCTTGGTGGATGTCCTCGTCGAGTTTTTAATCACATTAATTCATTCATTAATAGGTTGCATGTCAAATGTCATCTGCTCACATCGAATAATTACTGAGTTACACATTTTAAATTGTTGGTAGAACTTTTGTATCGGACTATAATTTCGACATCCTTTCAAGTCGAGGTTGTCTGCTGCCATTTTTGTCCTCGGGCTCTTTGCAATCAGTCTTCTACTTACAAGGCATTAGATTTGTGAGTGTGACTTTGTTTGGCTTCTCTCGCTAGATATGTCCAACATGTAGCTTCGCTTCGGCTATCGTCACAACTGTTGATCTTTGGATCACATAGAAAAATATAAAACCGAACAAAAAGTAGATCAGCGAGCTTCACAATATAAATAAACACAAATAAAACGTGAACGTAGCGGTTATATGGCCTTCATTAGCACATACATAAATTAAACAAAACCACACACCTGTATGTGTTATCGAATGGAATGCTGAGATACTATAGAGAAAAGTTCACACCAAATGGCTCACTTTTTCTTGTGCGTATGCATTGCTCCCATTCCCTTTCGTCAAGCTTCTTAATCAAAGCTCATGAGATTAATTTCTTCGGATGCGATAAGAACCATCATACAATAACTGTATCAACCTAAAGGATTTGTTGCCTGTCCCAGAAGATCAGAAAACGACCCCTTGTGGGTCTTAATTACTGTTGCCTTTGCTTTTAGAAAAGAGTTGAGTGCAAGGAGATCGTTTGACAAGTAGAAGACTGAATGCTTTAGCAGTTGACAAAGGAGGAAATACTGCATACGCCGACAGAGTGACACGGAAGACGACCAACTACTGAACTATCAAGACTAGCAAACAGCTGATTCTTAAAACGAACAATCCTTTCAGCCTCCAGGCATGCCACACGATGTTCAAACCCTTACAGACAATTCGTGAAATCCAGGAAAATTTTTAAGCTTCATTAGATAGCCACGCGACATATTGACCCCACGCGCCATTTCAAGCGGCGCGCCGGTGTTCTAGAAATTAAACAATAAATTACTTTCTATAATAACAGCCCAATTTCTCACCAGCCGATTCCTTGAATACCCCGTCACGGCTGACCTCATACGAAAGCGCTATCAGGAGCTCTCCGAGTGTGCGCGGGCACGAGTGTGCGCGCTGATCTGTTCCCAGGCAAAGGATAGCGCAGTCAGAAGCAGACGCGCTGTGTGTTTGTGTGTGACACGACGGACTCAGCGACAACAAGCACGGATTAATCAGACCAACTCTTCTTTCTAACAGCCGTGGTTATATCTTTATGAGCGCTCTGTTTTGGATTTTAACATTTCCTTTGGATATTACATTTCTTCTTTGTTTTAGAGTGTAGTTACTAGTGAATTTATTCGTTGTTTGCTCGAGGATGTGATTGTTTTAGTGACTCACATATGGCGTCTGATTCGAATAATAGCAGTATCATTGAAAACTGGCTGCGGTCCGTCAACTTGGTGCAGTATACTCAAGCCTTTTTAGATAACGGTTATGATGATTTAGAGGTGTGCAAGCAAATTGGAGAAGCAGATCTGGATGCCATCGGTGTGCCTAGAGACCAGCAACGGGAGAAATTATTACGGGCTGTGAAAGTTTTAAGAGAAGAAGGAGGAGCCGCAGTGTATTTTACTCTGGAAGAATGTGATACATGTCAAAGCGGGGACGAAACTGAAGCCGGTGAATGCATTGAAGATGGGCTTTGTCGTGGGCCTGGAGGTATTGTCGCTTCTACTGTCAATGCTCGTGGAGTCGTTTGTCCAGATGGTAGTGCCTTCAAGTTGGATGCTTATGATATGGGCAAGACCACGCTGGTAACGTACCCGAAAGTCCAGTTGAAGCTGATACTGCGAGACAAACTGGTGGAGGATAGTATCGACCTGTCGGGGCCTCCCTACACGAGCCCGGTGAGTGACATCTGTTACCATGTTTGAATGTCTTTGGCAAATTTGCTGTGTCAGTCGATGAGCGAGTGTCGTCTGTGTGCAGTTTTTATCCATATTGTTTTCATTTCTCAGTTAACTTTCTTTCCCAGCTGTCACTATTTACTGTACAAATGCACTTTAATCATGTTAGTAAATAGTACTGTGTACTGTACTTAGATTCTTCTCTGTCTCAGCTCTTTGTTTGAGTTTTCAGCCATTGAAGGCCAAAATAGAGAGACTAAAATATTTTCCATGTTAGCTACATTGTGTTCTTAAAAATATTGGATTTTTCATGCTTTCTCTAAAATATTTAAGAATCAGCAATTATAATCTGCGTTTATACAAAAAGCATAATAAATCTACTATTTTAATGACGCAGTCAGTTTTAGTAAGATTATCAAAATATCCATTATACAATTTATCTTAATCACATGTTAAATAAGGAGTCAAAGGCAAATGTTTGAAACTGCAATACAAACTTATTAATAAATGCACAATATTCAACAAAAAATAAGACCAGTGAGAGCTGAGTGAACACTTTATATCCCAGTTATAACCAGGAGGGTTGAACTGGATATTTTTAGGAAATCTACTGCTATTGCTATGCCAACTTTTTATTACTTCAATATATTCTAATGATGTCAGAGATACATGATTTCTGTTTATTCAGTATTATTTGAACTCTGTCATTCAATAATACTTGAACTGTATCACTCCAACCAATTGTTTGTGTCAACACACTCAATCTGTTTACTCTTTCTGTCCAAGTATTATTTAAAACAACACTCACTCCTTTCTTTGTGATTCTAAAACTCTTGCTTTCCCATCTCTTATACCAACTCTTATCTTGTCAATACTTGGACTGTTTCTATCCCAGCTCTTTGTTATTTCAGGACACACTAACATTGTTATTAATTTAACTTAAATGAACAGGCCAGGATCTGTCTAGGTCAGGACTCTATCTGTCCAGATCAGGACTCTATCTGTCCAGGCCATGACTCTATCTGTGTAGGCCATTTTTTTTTATATCAGTACACACCAGCACAATAAATAATACCTAAACTAAATCTGACCAGGGAGCCACCATGGTGTAGTGGCTAGCCGCTCGCTTGCCGATCCAAAGATCATGGGTTCAAGTCCTGACAGTATCGAACTTAAAAAAAAAAATTACCATTTCCTCCAGGTTAACCCAACCTTACATGGGTACCCCATGAAACCCCGGAAGTTAAAGTTGACCAGTGGGATTTCTAGAACTACATGCAGTTGCTGCTGTATTTTTGAAGTAGCAAATTTCTTTGAACTTTTACTTATAATTTATGTATCCATAAACAATAGAATATAGAGTAGTTGACACACCTCTAGCCATATATGCACAATACACCTGAAGGCATGGACAGGAGTCCTTTACTTCTACCAGGCCAGGACTCTCTTTGACCAGGGTATATGTTATGTCAACAATCTCAGTCATTGCACTATTTATACTCTGGTATTATAACAGTACTCATTGCTTATCCATATACTCTGTCAATGAACCCTTTCTAATCTAGTATTCTTTCATGATTGACTGGCACCTTTCCGTCTTCTCAGGAGATAGTGTTTTATTGTGCTGTGAGAAGGCATGGGACTCACAGCTTATGGCGATGGCGAGTGTGACTAGCAAGAGACCCGTCCTCGTTAAGAAAAGTGCCACATAGCATGGGATTTGTTGTTAACATTTGTGTTTAGTCAATTTCTTCTCGGATGCTCAGCTCTCATCCTTTCTGCAATCATGTCTTCCTTCATTCTTACTCCCTTCCTGATGTGCCCCCTCCATACAAAACAGTCCATGGCATTTTGTTCCCACAGCATCATTTCGTGCAAACAACATGCACACTTGTAACAATGCTTCCAATAACAACATGCACACTTGTAACAATGCTTCCAATAACAACATGCACACTTGTAACAATGCTTCCAATAACAGCGCTTGATGTCCAAGTCGATGCCTGCTCTCTTCTGTCACAGCTGTTTAGTTTGTCAACAGATTATGTTCATTGCACATCGAACCATTCAGTCCATGAAGGATCCGATCCTCACCATTGTAAATCCTGCAGCGTGTAGTGGCTCACATGACACAAGTTCTGTATTAGTTTCTTATTCTTCTTTGGCTTCCTGCATAGTGCTCTTGTCTAGCCACAGCCTTATAACCTGTTGTTCTCGCAGTCTGGTCATTGTTGCAGATTCACAGTTATCACTTGGTTCTCACAAAAGTCTATAACTGCTCATGGAGCATTCCGAATATCAGCATGGTCCATAACTCGTCCACACTCCACAGTAGCTTTACCTGCAAGCCAATCAGCTCGCTCATTTCCTTGCACATCTTCATGTCCCAGCTGTTTATCGTAACAAAACCCTTCAGTTATCATATTAACTGCTGCAGTATTCTTTTTCTCAGTATTCATCAGCTGTAACCTCTTGCAGGAAGTCCTACTTTTTCTTTCGCCCCAGGACTTTGGTCGTGCTGACCACATCACTCACCAAGCACCGATTGGTCTATAAAATATAGATAGGTCTAGCCCTATATGCCTAATCCCACTGAAGGCATGGAAAAGGGTCCTATACTTTATTTTACCAAAGCATCTCATTGTTTACTTCTTATGGCTACTTATAAAGATCTCTCATTACCTTTTTTTTTTCTCTGTGAAATTGTAATTACTCAACCTGTCTGTCCTAGATATTCCCAATTTGTTCATCTGCTTTTGTCTAAGACACTTGTGTCATTGTCATCATGATCATGTAGCAGGTCCATTTGTAGAACGTCGCTCTCATCACACTTTCACACTCAAGGAGTCACTTATATCCTGTACCCATCTTCGTGTCGGTCGGCCCCTGCCCCTCCTCCCTGGTAGCATGCCTTCTGCGATAATTTTTTCCAATCCGTCGTGGCGCTTGATATGACCAAAATATTTTAGCTTTCGAGAAAGGATGCTGTTTATTAGCCAATCTTCCTTGATGTTCAGAACATTGCTATATTAACTCATATCACATTCAATGTTTAATTTCATTACTTAAGATTACAGCAAATGTTAAAGTAAGAACTATCTTCCCTGTGTTGGTCATGGGAGTTTCATATCTGGGGGGGGGGGTGGGGGGGGGTGGGGGCGTGGAGGATGATCTACTGCCCCCGCCAATGATGCGAAGTTTTCACTTCTACAGATGCAACTCTTTTTTCTAGTATCGACAAGTTGAATGGGACTATATCAAATTTGAGCTGACCCCGCCCCCTTCTCCCCCCCCCCCCCCCAATGGGATATGCAGTTCAATTTGATGGGTTGAAGAATATACCAGCTGCCTCTTAGTTTGTATGTCGTGTGTTGGGTCGAAAGGCTCAGATATCGCAGCTTGGCTGTAAACCACAACACTCATGCCAACCGCTTTTTTCAAACACAGAAGAAGAAGAAGAAACTCAACAGCTTGTGGTAGTCCTATGCAACTCAGATAACTATCAGGGAAGGCATGACTTAGAGCAAAGCAACTGTTACTACACCTCATAAAGTAATTTTAACACTTCCCTTACAAAGAAACAGCTTGTTTTCATCAATAAACAGTTTCCTACTCAAGATGTTGGCTGTTTTTTTTATTATAAACAAATCATATCCTGCCGAGCCTGTTTAGTTTATCACTTTAAAAACACTTCTAAGGTTGGGTTTAAAAGGCGGTTAAAACAAGTTCGGTCATAAATCACAGAGGTTTTACGCAGTGTTGAGTTGGGATTGTAGAGGCATACAGTGTAAGGTACTTAGACTTTCTTGTGTATGTATATCTTCTTTTTCTTGTTCAGAGGCTGTAAACTCCGGCGAAAAGCTCTTGTTGTTTAACCACGTCTGCGTTTTATGCGTGGACATCCGTTTTACAGATGTGACTTATTTGTATGTAGAATGTTAGTTCCTCACCTGTCAGTCATATGCCCTCCAACTTAGAAGGAAAAGTCCCTAAATGGTCACCTCTTAGGACATGCTTGTTAGAGAGGCAGTGGGTTTGTTATATATTTCCCTCGCAGTGGGCCCTCGGAACCCATACAGGGACTCTTGAATAATATATTTATGTGTGTGTGTCTTTAATATAAATCACACACCTGTTGTGTTTTGTGTGTCAAGAACTGGTCTAGGACGCTCCTACCACTCCCTCGACCTTGGGCAGTGACTCACGGGTCAGCTCCCAGACTCTGTAAAAATTATTTGCTGCAGAAGATTCAGAGAATCAGCAGACGTGAACTGAAATGGGACATTGACGGGATTAGGAAACGAAAGCATCCAAGAGAAACTGAGAGACGGAAGACGCATGTTCTGCTTACGCCTCTGTGGAGTTTCTACTACATATACGGCAGCGGTAGAGACCAAAGGAGAAGAAAATTTCTTTCACTATTCTAGGCGAAGCCGGGCTATAAAATCTAGTATGTGTGTGCAATTTATACACACACATATATAAATCACCTAGAAATGTTGCTATGTACATATACGCAAACACACATAAACATATCTGTAAGAGTATGTGTGTGCAGCTTAATCTAGGCATTATTTCTTCTACTGTATACACTCATAAAACTGGGCTTGGCACGTTCAGTAGTGTTTACAGCTGGTCTGAGATATCTGCGCTTTTCAATCCAATGCACACCCTTAATCAACCACCTACGTTTGAAAAAAAGACTACCGTTCTCATAGTTTTCGGCCAACTGTACGAGAGTTGCACCGTCGAATAGACTGGGGTTCCACCACATAATATTCCAAAAGGCAACAGTGGTACACTGTAACCAACCTTCATTGTGAAGACGGCACATACTATTTTTACTGGATGCTTGTTAAGGGGACATTGATCTGTATCTCCCCCCACTCCTGCCAATCATTGATGGAGCTCGAGGAGAACCCACAAGAGGGGAAAGTATTACAGTATTATGAGTTGAGACCACCAGTTCCTATTTTCTCCTTTCTCTTCGCCCCAAACTC